CACAGAGAAGACAAACTCTTATTCATCAAATCGCATCAGCTTTGTAGCGGCTTGGTTTACGCAACTGCGAGCGCTCTTTGCGTTCCTCTTGAGTAAGTACAGGTGATGAGGGTGTTCTCCTTTAAAACAGGAATTTCAGCTGTCAGTATATTGAAATGGAAACTCACATTTTCAGCTGTCGATGAGTTCCTGCCAAGTGAACCACTGGTGAAGCCAGAATAGCCGTCGTCTAAAATGCAAAGGAGGACACCAGTCCGGCAAGCGTAAATCGTGCCTGAGTGAAATTATGCGTAGCCAGGAGAGGTTATGATCGATCAGTTCAAAAAGGCAGGAAAATCAAATTTGAGAAGGGCTTTGGTAAGCCCTTAGATTAGGGAAAACACGCTTTTTTTTACTTTGTATACATAGTTCAGATTGTTTACAAACCATCTAGGCTGACATAAATTTAGGTGAATCGAATGAGGAAGATAAATTTATGCTTTGTTTGTCCTTTTAGAGAATCGCAGATTTTAACGGCAGTCAAATGACACATGAAAAAAATATATCCTTGAAGAATGTTACCCTCACATCCATGCCCAGATGTGAAATACCAGACCTCGAGAGCCTTTCAACAATTTATTTGCTGTTTATTTAAAGAATTTGGGTTGACCAGCAATTCAATAAGTTCAATAGAAGTGAAAACCAGTAGGTGTCCATTTTTGGTCGTAGCTCGGATCGTTAATGAAGTGAGGGATAAAATTGAAGTGTGCACGTGAGGACTTGGTTGAAGGAGTGTGGAAAGAACGGAAGTGACCGGCTTTTATGCGCAAAAATGCAATCAAACCATGCATCGAAATAGGATGTGAGGAGCTCGGCAAATTTTGAATGTGAACACTTTGGTCAATCATCGCAAAAAAATGCGCAAAGCACAAGTCTCCTGTTGCTGGTCGTAAGTTTACAAAAGGGCTGCAACAGACACCAAGGAAGTGTCCGGTGTGCTTGTCACGGTGGTTGAGAGTAAGAGGCTAGGAAGGAAAAGGCAAAGCTGGGTCGATCACATGCACGAGATGACATCTATGGCTGCTAAGAGGGCAGCACCATGTGCGCATCAATGGCTCATCATGAGGAAACGCGATATGCGGAGCAAGGCTAGCTGTTCTGTGCGCTAAACAAAAACAGGCTACTTTACATAGTCCAAATTGCCTAAAAGAACTTGTGTGGCCGACGCCACCTATCATGCACTGCCATTGTACAGACCAAGGTAGGCTAAAACTTGACGTTAATTCTCCCAATTTCCAAAATTAGCCTTAATAATTAAAGAGAAATAGTATCTTTAAAAGTTCTTTTAAAGCTCTACACATTGTGTTAAATACTTTACCAAATTTTTGGATGAAGTTAAGAGTGGCTGTTCCAAAATATGAGGTTACTAAGCTCTAAAACTAAAACTGTAGAAAC